AAGTATGTTACTTTCCAAATGCTACTCCTGTATAAGCTCCATGGATTTGTTGATTTGAAATACGAATGAGTATTCTATATGCCTAATTTGTGCAAGGCCGTTTGATACGTTTGATATATTTGAATTCGGCCTAAGGCCGTTTGCCGTTTGTCATTTGCCATTTGCCGTTGATATGTTTGATATATTTGAATTGGGCCTAAGGCCGTTTGCCGTTTGCCGTTGATATGTTTGATATATCTGAATTGGGCCTAAGGCCGTTGGACATGAATGATTGGGCCAAAGGCCGTCGAACATAAATGATTGGGCCAAAGGCTGTCGGATATGAACGATTGGGCCAAAGGCCGTTAGACATGAATACAAAGATGGGCCAAAGGCCGTTTGAATATATCATTTGATATGTTTGAATACCGTGATGGGCCAAAGGCCGTTTGAATGAAAGGGATCATGATCATGAATATGAAATACGCATGGATATGAATATAAAGAGAATGGGCCCGAGGCCGTTTAATACGCCTGATATATTCAAATTGGGCCCGAGGCCGTTTGATATGTTTGAATTGGACCTGAGGTCGTTTGCATATGGATATGATGTGTTGGACCCGATGTCGTTTTGCTTTTTTGAGATTTGTAAGTCTGATGTGAATGAGAATAGTGGTTCAAATGTGTACATTATAAGTGTGATTCATTTATGAACGAATCTCATTCATTAATCTCTTTATTTTGATATTATTCACTGGGCGTTAGCTCACTCTCATTTATATGTATGTAGGTGAGCAAAGGGACGTTCAACCCCAGGTGCCTCATGCAAGAGGCTTTGTTTATGATCTTTTACTATTTCTATTGGTCATGGTAGACCGTTTATGTGTATAAGCTTTTGGTTTAGCTGACTATGCGTTTGAATGATCCTGGGTATACAAGATGTTAACTATTGATATGTGGTGTGAGTTATTATTAAGTATATGTGAAATGTTTTGATATGCCATGTAAGAATAGCTCATTGGACAAAATTTTTAAGCTTGCTTCTGTTTGGCCCCTTAACTCTGATGGAATATCTTTTGTTTTGGTTTGAGGCCGTAGGTAATCCCTTGATTACTGGCCGGTTATGACCTTAATTCATAGGGGCGGGTTCGGGCCATGACAAAGACGCGTGATCTCATGCGCAAGAACGTGCCACACACGCGCACACTAGACGATCTAACGTCATCCACTGACGTCATTTGAGCCAAGCCGGAGCCGTAGCCGTTGACTGCGCCGCTAACCAAGCTATCGTTCCAGCTGTTTTGGCTTGATCTAAGCCATTTTGAGTCTGTTTTTGACGATCCGATAGCGTTTTCCAATTATTTGGAATATTTCGGACACATCAGTACATTCATATTTTTCAAATCAGATTTAAAAAATTTGCGATCTTTATTTTGGCAATCCGAAGTGTTTTTTTGTCTAATTTGACCAATCTGGACTCAACAGTGAAGCCTGTTTTTCAAATAGAGATCATTTTCTATAAAGAAAAGTGTTGATGGATGAATCAACGTCGACTTTGGAATCCATGATAAAGTTAAATGCTTCTAACTATGCAATTTGGAAGCTTAGAATGAAAGATGTCTTGTACTACCAATATTTGTTTGACCCTATTGAGCTTCATAGAGTTAAACCAGCAATGGAAACTGACGAAGACTGGATGCGAAAGAATCAAAAAACCATTGGCCAGATCAGACAATGGATCGATCACAGTGTCTTCTACCATGTTGCCCAGGAGATTGACGCGTATGCTCTCTGGACGAAGTTAGAAGGCATGTACCAATCAAAGACTGCTCGGAACAAAGCCCTCCTAATGAGAAGACTTCTAAATTTGAAGCTAAAAGGCGGTATCTTTGTTGCTAAACACACCAGTGAGTTTCAAAATCTGGTGAACCAACTGGCAACTATCAAAATAGAGTTAGATGATAAGATGCAGGCCCTATTGCTGCTCAGTTCTTTGCCAGACAGTTAGAAGACGTTGGTGGTGTCCCTCAACAACTCTATACCAGAAGGAAAACTGACCATGAGCATGGTTACATATGCTCTATTCAGCGATGAAGCAAGAAAGAAAGACATGGGTGGAGATCAATCCCATGCCCTCGTCACAGAAAATAAAGGTAGAGGCAGAGATAGCGGAAGAAGCAAAAGTAAAAGACGCAGCAGAGGAAGATCTCAAGACAGAGGGAAGTGCAAAGGAGGTACGAGCCAGCCAAGGTTCAAGTGTTACCATTGTAGCCAAGAGGGTCACATAAAGATATATTGTTATGCCTTGAAGGGAGAACAAAAACAAGGCAATAGACAGCCAAAGACCGAAGATAGGAACAATGCAGTTACTATCTCAGAGGATATTGCATTATTCTCTATTGAAGAAGAAGAATGCCTCCATATGTTAGACAAGGACAGAGGGAAGTGCAAAGGAGGTACGAGTCGGCCAAGGTTCAAGTGTTACCATTGTAGCCAAGAGGGTCACATAAAGATATACTGTTATGCCTTGAAGGGAGAACAAAAGCAAGGCAATAGACAGCCAAAGACCAAAGATAGGAACACTGCATATGTCAGCCAAAGACCGAAGAAGAAGAATGCCTCCATATGTCAGACAACGACACCGAGTGGGTGGTAAATATAGCAGCTTCCTACTATGCTACATCTCGAAAGAAGTTTTTTAGTACGTACCAAGCTGGAGATTTTGGTAAAGTGAAGATGAGTAACTCCAGTTTTTCGAAGATTATGGGAATCGGTGATGTTCGCATCCAAACCAAAGTTGGGTGCACGATGGTATTGAAAGATGTCAGTCATGTTCTTGATTTACGCCTAAATCTTATCTCAGGAATAGCCTTAGATCAACAAGGCTATGAGAACTACTTCGGCAAAGGCATATGGAAATTGAAAAAGGGATCTCTGGTGGTAACCAGAGGACAGGAAATTAGCACATTTTACAAGACTCCTGTAGAGGTGAATTCAGATAGCCTCAACGCAGCAGAAAATGAGGCGTCACCAAATTTGTGGCACAAAATGCTGGGTCACATGAGTGAAAAATGGTTACAGATTCTGGCAAAGAAGTCTCTTATTCCCTTTGCCAAAGATGTGAAATTGAATCCTTGTGATAACTGCTTATTTGGGAAGCATCATAGAGTCGTTTTCCACTCATCATTTAGAAAACAATCAGAGTTGTTGAGCAGAGTATACTCTGATGTATGTGGTTCCATAGAAGTAGAATCTTTGGGTGGCAGAAAATACTTCCTGACGTTTATTGATGATGCATCACGGAAGGTATAGGTTTATGTCCTAAAGACCAAAGCTGAGGTGTTCCAGCATTTTCAGAAATTCCATGCTATGGTAGAAAGAGAGACTGAAAAAAAGCTAAAGTGTCTCCGAACAAACAATGGAGGCGAGTACATATCAAAGGAGTTTAAAGCCTACTGTGCTACTCGCGGCATTTGGCATGAGAAGACTGTTCCTGGAATCCCACAATACAATGATGTAGCCGAGAGAATTAACCGGACCATTGTGGAGAAGGTCAGATGTATGCTCAAAATGGCAAAGTTGCCAAAGCCATTTTAGGGAGAAGTTGTTCGTGTTGCCTGCTATCTGATTAACAGATCGCCATCCGTTTCACTGAATTTTTAAATTCCAGAAGAAGCATGGTCTGGAAGGGAGATTTCTTACTCTCACTTGAGAGTGTTTGGGTGCAAAGCATTTGCACATGTATCCAAGGAGCACAGACAGAAGCTGGATGATAAAATCACTCCATGGATCTTTATTGGCTATGGAGATGAAGAATTTGGATACAGATTGTGGGATCCCAAAAACAAGAAGGTCATTCGAAGCCGAGATGTGGCGTTTCAAGAAGGCCAGACCTTAGAAGACTTTGGGTAACTAGCTAAACCCAAAGTTGATGATGTTTCAAAAATTATTCTGAATCCTGCACCATCACAACATGCAACTGATGAAGAAGAGCTACTGTAGCATGCAGCCAATGATGTAGAGTTGCATGATGGATTTACAAAAGAAGAAGATCCAGAAGCAGAGGGTGTTAAGCAGGGGGAGCCACAACCCCCTCCACCAAAGACTGTTGGTCCACAGTTACGAAGATCAATAAGAGAGTCTAAGCCGTCGTCAAAATACCCTGCTTTTGAGTATATTTTGCTTACTGATGACACTACAACAAAATGCACATTTGGCGACTAAATTTTTAGTCGCCAAAAGTACAATTTTCAGTCGCCAAATGCTTTGCCCGACTAAATATTTTGGTCGCTAGACTGGTCGCGGAAAACTTGTCGGGGAAGGTATTGGCGACTAAATATTTTTTAGTCGCCAAAAGTCCTATAAATGGCGACTAATATTTTTAGTCGCCTAAAATAAAATTTTAGTCACCAAAAATATTATTTTCCGTTACTAAAACTTTGGTCGCCAAAACTTGAAGTATCTATGGCGACCAAAGTTTTAGTCTCCAAAGGGTTTTTTTCATCTTTTTATTTTTTTATTTTATTTTTTTTAGCTACTAAATTCTTAGTCACCTAAAGTCTGCTTTTATTTTAGCTACTAAATATTTAGTAGCCAAAAGTTTTTTTCCATTTTATAAATAAAATTATCTATATACTGATAAAATTAGCAACCATTCCACAACACACACACATTTCACTTTCAACCATAAAAAAAATCATATTTAACATCAAATCAATATTTCCAAAAAAAATTCTACACAAATCAAGTATAATCCAATCTCAAAAATATAATTCCATACAGAACAGAAGATTAAACAAAATTAATATCTAATTGTTAATTTGGCAAGAAACCAACTAACAAAAACACCAAAAACGTAAAAAGTAAAATAAAATAAAATAAAATAAAAACTAGTGATGAAGCCAGCTGTAGTCCAACCCTTAAAGCAATTACTGAAGCAAAGCCGAAAGCTGCATACATAAATTAATATAGATCAGTAACATAGATCACAACAATTACTAACAAAAGATAGCACAAACAGATACATAATTTTTATCCATCATCAATTCACTGATCAACTTTTCTCATTTTATTCTCAAACCAAGTACAAAATAATTATATAGAGCAGAAATGAGAAGGCATACCAGAGTAATGACCATTCAAAAAATATATTGAGTAATCAATAAGTTTCACCATTTACATTCTCTTGCATAAATCCATATGTATATTGTGCATAATGAGTTAATCTTCTGGGAAACTATTGACAGTTTCGAACATGCTTGAAGAATTAAAACATGGGTATAAAAATTTTACCCATATGTATATTTAATTTAGGTGATTAAGACAGATACTAGAGCCAAGTAGGTGATTAATCCAACACATATCATCATATTTGACCTTGCTGGTAAAATAACTAGAGCAAGGAGCCATGCCTGCATAATCAAGACAGTTAACTATGTCAAAATTAAAAGACAGTGAAATAAAAATTAAATAAGAAAAAAGAAAATAGCATTTAAAGAATAAAAAAACCAACTCAATTGCGGTAAAAACCACACTGCAAATGTTGGTAACACAGTAGTTCAAGACTGAAGGTTAGCTAATGCAGTGCTGATATCAGAACCCATATATATTTACAAATTCAGACTTATCATGTATTTAATTAACAAAAAAGGATTATCATCCATTAAATGCCCCATGCTTGGATCATCCAATAACAGATCCCCATAAACTACCCAATGATTTTGAGCATTTCTTGCATAATATTTTTAGAGCATTTCCTGCATAATATAGGAGTTTTATGTATAGTTTTATGGTGAACTCAAATTACTAAATATGCTAACTTGGACAAGAGTCTAAAAAGCAAGTTATTGATGAATACCAAATGGAGATTTATAAATTAAATAACATTGTACGTGAAACAACCTTAAAAATGAATAAGTCATGTATGATTTACATACCACAGGTGATGATATTGTAAAGCGCATAGTTGACGAATAATAGTCATAGTTTGGTCTAGGTGAGATTTGAGAAACATATTTTGGAAGAGGCAGGAAATGTGGATTAAGCTCTTTGAGATGAACTGCTCCCTGACGAGAAAAGAAAAATTATCAGAATAAGAGGATCCAAAAGCACTATGTAATCATACTCTTGGCAAACCAATATTTAACCATGCATGATGACTACAAACTGAAGTTTGCATCCACCTTAGATTCTATAATGTAAAAAGATCCATTCCCTTTCTCTAGCACTAGCAGCAACTTAAGTTAAAGAATCCATATTGGTTCGAACAATGATTCCAAATGACTACATTTGCAACTAGAATAATTCAAAGAGTACTTCCACAAAAAGAGCATGAAGTAAAACAGCACCATATGGAAAGATGTATCTTAGCTTGAAAACAATAAAAAGTATTCATGATACAGAGGAATTAGGGAATAGCACTTAGGACATAATGCACAATTATTATTTTGGGACAAACAATGATATATTTACAGTAACGATCTGGCAACAGATAAGATAACACAGATAGTCAAAACTAATAAGTTGGCATACCCAGATCCCAAACTTAAAACTTTATGTTGTTATAATGAATAGCAAACTCTACTTTTAACAAGACTTATATAGCTAGTCTGTTTTACCACCATAAATTTTACAAAATTTACTGGGCCAAACACAATGCCAATTGATTTATTTTTTCTAAAAGCAAAATAAAATTTTAACAGATGATAAAAGCCATATCATTTTTTGTACTGTCTTAATATGTTTATCTAATAGTATACACTGTCTCTCTAACCATGGAAATACACACTACCCACTGAACCTCTAGCAAACTGGTCCCAACTTATATGTAGCCTGCACAGTTTCTAGATCTCGAAATATATATAAACAGTTGACAGTCTAAAAACAATAATAATTTGAATACAATTTTGTAAAGCATCATATGTTTATAATGAACAACAAAAACAGAGGCTACACTTCACAATCAAGAGAACTTGCCCTAGCTATGTGTTACACCCTATATAACAAATGTAATACCGTTGTAGCAATACGCCAATATCGACAGTGGCATAGAGTGGTGGTCGGTCTGAATAAAATCACCAGATACTAAAAACCAAACGAAAATGAGCAGTTCAATTCGTCAAATCAACAATTAGTTCAACTACAAAATCTTGCTCATAATATTCTGAAACCACCAAAAAAAATAGAACAAACTTGCTAATTGTGCAGACAAAAAGCCTAATCCCATAGGTAGAATAAAATTGCATCATCAGAAATCAGAACCACATTTTCTTCTTTAAATTGTAATATGCATCGAAGGCTTGATCTGCTAGTGCAGACTGCACAACCTTATCATATCCCCATGCTAACATAGCAGTCAATAATTCACATCAAAGTTTTGAAATCCACCCCTTCTTTCTCTTTTCTCTCTCTTTCTTTCATTTCCCTCCAAAAAGAGGAAAATCAAAACAAAATTTGGGTGGGGAGTGAGTAAAACAATTACTATGCTATTTGCATATACAGAATATAACCAACAATAAGCATATCACAATAGATTCAAGTTTGATTCTTAATAATTTAGTTTTAATGTGTTTTAACGACTCTACACTTCAACAAGTAGCTGCCATTTCCCCCCTCCCCCTTTTAGCGCACGAATAACAAACATTTATATATAATTTGGTTTAACATGGAAAATTAAGAAAACCTCTGGTTTGTGCAAGCACAGTATCTTCTTTGCACTGTACAATTTCCACAAACACAACAACAATACTGCAGAGCTAATACACAATAAAATGAGTACCTCCATAGCAAGCATCGTGATCAGTCACCTCTTCCTGCGTTTTGGCTCCACCTAGAATTCAGATCAGAGACAATGCCCTATCAAAAACTAAAAAAATGATCATTAATATAACAGAAACCACAGGCTGAGCAACATTTGATCAGATATTCGGAAATTCATGAAATATGAATTCTGAAAAAAATATTATTTAATTATCTACAAAAAAGACAAAAACCAAACTTCAACTTAAGTGAAAATTAACAGTAAGGTTGGGATTGATTTTCTACAGAGAATTGTGGTTTTTCCAGCCTTTTTAGGACCAAGAACGAGTTTGTTACCAAAAAGTGAAGAGAACAATCAAGTAAACACAATCCCTATTTTCAATCTCCCTTAGATGGAGAATCAAAAGGACCAGTTAGATCTTTAAGATCCCCACAAGAAACCTCTGAATATTTTGAGAGAGAGAGAGAGAGAGAGAGAGAAAGCATATGCGAGACGGAGCATCAATGAAGTAGAGTTCATCTTAGCGATGAAGCCTCTGGATCTCGCGGCGGTGGATCTGTGAAGATCGGCGAAGGAGGAGGAGGTGGCGGCGTGAAAAGATCGGTGGTACTCACGATGATGATGGCGACGGCGGATGAGGAGGAGGTGCTCCGGTTTCTGTCGAATGTGAAGAAGAGCGGCAGTGAGAGAGGGTGGGGAGAGGAGTAGCGGAGCTGGGGAAGGGGAGGGAGAGGGACGCCGAAAATAGAGAGAGAGAGAGAGAGAGGCGCAGATTATTTTAGGGTTTGGTTTGGTACAAAATATATATATATATATATATATATCATTTTATACAATTGACGACTAAAATACCTAATGGTCGCCAATTATATATATATTACACCATTAGCGACTAAATTTTTTAGTCGCCAATTACTTTTATAAATCCCTCAAATTTAAATTAGAAATGTCTCCCTCCAATTTTTTATTTTTTGGCGACTAAACTAATTTTTGGTCGCTGAAAATATGTTTTGGCGACTAAACTTTTGGTCGCCAAAGATAGGTTTTTTTTTTTTTTTAATTTTACATTTGGCGACTAAATATTTTAGTAGCCAATACCTAATATACGGCGACTAAACTAATTTTTGGTCGCTAAAAATATGTTTTGGCGACTAAACTTTTGGTCGCCAAAAGATAAAAAATAAATTTTTAATTTTACATTCGGCGACTAAATATTTTAGTAGCCAAAACTCAATATACGGCGACGAAAATTTTTTTTTGGCCCCAATTCTAGTATTTTTAGCGACTAAATTATTTTTTAGTCACTAATAATCAATATATCCCGACTAAAAAAATTTAGTAGCTAAATTTTATACTTTTGGCAACTAAAAAAACATTTTAGTTGCCAATTCCAAAACTGTTAGCGACTAAATTTGTTTTAGTCACCAAAGGTGTATTTTGTTGTAGTGTGAGGGGGAGCCAGAAAGTTTTCAAGAAGTTTAGAATCATAAGGAGAAGAGTAGCTGGCAGCAAGCTATGCAAGAGAAGATGCAGTCCTTGCAGAAGAATCAGACTTATGATTTGGTGAAACTTCCCTGGGGTCGAAAAGCATTGAAGAACAAATGGGTGTTCAAGTTAAAGAAAGATGACAGCAGAAAGGTAGTCAAGTATAAGGCCCGATTGGTTGTCAAAGGTTTTGGACAGAAGAAAGGTATTGATTTTGATGAAATCTTCTCGCCAGTTATGAAAATGACATCCATTCGAGTAGCTTTGGGACTAGTGAATTTGGAACTTGAACAGATGAATGTGAAGACGGCATTTCTCCATGGTGATCTGAAGGAAAAAATTTACATGGAACAGCTAGAAGGTTTTGAAGTCAAAGGGAAAGAAAACTTAGTCTGCAGATTGAAGAAGTCTCTACGACCTCAAACAAGAGCCGAGACAGTGGTACAAGAAGTTTGACTCATTCATGGTGGGTCATGAGTAGAAGAAAACTACTGCAGACCAGTGTGTTTATGTCAGGAAAATTCCCGATAGAAACTTCATCATACTCCTGCTCTATGTTGATGATATGCTGATCGTTGGACAGGATGCCACAGTAATCAGATCACTGAAGAAGGAGTTATCACAGTCCTTTGACGTGAAGAACCTAGGCCCTGCACAGCAAATTTTGGGCATGAAAATTGTGCGTGACAAGAAAGCCAAGAAGTTGTCGCTATTACGGGAGAAGTACATTGAACGGGTGATTGAGAAGTTCAACATGAAAGATGCCAAGCCAGTCAGTACTCCGCTGGCTAATCATTTTAAGTTGAGCAAGAGTTCTTGTCCCTCCTCTACAAAAGAAAGAGAAGAGATGGAGGTTATTCCCTACTCATCCGCCTTAGGGAGATTGATGTATGCAATGGTGTCCACCTGACCAAATATTGCTTATGCTGTTGAAGTAGTAAGCAGATTCCTTTCCAATCTCGGGAAAGAGCATTGGGAAGCAGTCAAGTGGATTCTGAGGTACCTTAAGGGTACATCTAAAATATGTTTGTGCTTTGGAGGAGCTAAACCAGTCATGGAAAGCTATACTGATTCAGATATGGCAGGCGATCTTAACGATAGGAAATCTACATCAAGATTTATGTTCACTTTTGCAAGGGGAGCTGCATCTTGGCAATCCAAGCTGCAGAAGTGTGTTGCTTTATCCACAATCGAAGCAAAATATATTACAGCAACAGAAGCTAGGAAAGAAATGTTGTGGTTAAAGCGGTTTTTCCAAGAGTTGGGACTAAAGCAAGAAAAGTTCACGGTACATGGTGATAGCCAGATTGTCATAGACCTGAGCAAGAATTCAATGTACCATTCCCGCACAAAGCATATTGATGTTCGGTATCATTGCATACGTGAAGTGATGGAAAAGCAGTTATTGGAACTGGTCAAGATCCACACAAATAAGAATCTAGCTGACATGCTTAGAAAGGTGATCTCGAGAGACAAACTCGAAATTTGCAGAGACATTGCCGGAATGGACTTCAAGTGAGAAGTCAGTCATGCATGTGGGTATGAAGGGGGAGAATTGTGAGCTCTAACCCTATGCATGCAGAGGAGAGAGTCAAAGAAGAATGGCGTAGGAAGACTTCCACCGCAAGGGAAGGAGGTCTAAGATGGGCATCTCTTCCTTCTCTTCACATTGTTGCCATTACTGACACTCACCCTCACCATTAAAGAAGGTAGAAATTTTTGGTGGGTTGGTATTTCTCTCTCTCTCTCTCTCTCTCTCTGTCTTTGTGTATAAATAGAGATGGGATGGAGAGGATGCATTGCATCAGAAAATTAAGAGAGAAATCTGTGAATTAAGTGAGAATTTTATCTCCTCTGTTTTTGTATTTTGCTCAAGTTTAGTGAAATTCTCTTTTCTACTCCGTGGACGTAAGCATTGGGCCGAACCATGTAAAATTTGTGTTCTCTGTGTGTGTGATTTATATTCTGGGTATCTATTATCCTAAAAAATTCCGTGTGGATTTGTTAGATTGAAGTATTTATCATCCCTATCATTTAAGGTAAACATAGAAAGAAAGAAATGAAAGGACTGCATAAGAGACTGAGAATAAGATGGAATAAGATGTAAAAGCCTCACGAATCAATCCTTTTTGAAGGGGCTAAATGTGAAATGGGTCAGGTCCAAGCCTTGGGCCGGCCCAATCTGACAAAGTCTGAATCCAAGTGGGTTAGATGAGTATATGGACAAACTAGTTGAGCCCAACTTCATGATCAACAGTCCACCCAAGTCCTCAAGCACTTGGGCCCAACCCGCAGTGGAAAGGCTAGCCCAGCCATAGTGCTGGTCTAGGCTGAGCTGCGAAACGGAATCTATGGGCCGAACAGATAATGGGCCAGCCCATCTCCATGAATGATCCTGAAAAAGACCGAGCCGAGTCACATCAGTACCGAACTGAAGTACATGAGTACTAAGCTGGAGAAACCTCACAAGGAAACGTGGGAGCTGTGAGTGCAAGCATGTACAGGTTGCCACCTCAGCTGGTCCCCCACACCTAGAATCACGGAAGTTGTTGAACCAAAGGAATGTGATTTGTTATCAACATGCCTACAATGAGTATATGCAATCAATGACAACTACCAGGTGGTCCCCCACCTGGAGCAATGCTGAAAGGACACCTGGCAGCATCCACATTCCATGAAACCACCTTGAGAAGCAAGTAAGGAATACTATATATATTTCATAAACTTCACATTGAAGGTAACGGATTTGGACTGAACTAAGGAGAACTATTCTAATCACACTTAACATACATTCCTTCTCCGATCACTGATTCCCACGCCGGAGGGGTTATCTGGCCAACCCCGGCCGGGCAGCTCTAACGGTGCTTCTTGTGGCAAGAGTCCCGGTCCCTGGATAGTCCAACTGAGTGCGGAACCCCGATCCACTTTCATCTAGTGCGGAATCCGGTACGCACAATTGATGCAGTGAGCGTGGATCACTTTATCTCTGAGCTCTGCATTCAGTTCCGACAATGGGGATTGAGGACATTTCGCCTTCAGCACATACTCCACAGACGGAGAAGACGAAGGACAAAGGTTTGGCACTCCCAACAGTTCTGGAGGAGCAAACTGGAAACAATAATCGAACCCCCGAATCCGTCGAGCATCGACTGCCCTTCGCCGGAGGTTCTTCTCATCATTTCCTTCTGGAAAAGGATTATAGAGATTGAATTATAGATTCCATGGGAATAGAGATACAGGAATTGAAAGCTCAACTTAAGAAGGTGTTGGGTGATCCGACGGAAAAGAGGACGGAAGCAGAGCCCTCTCATTTGTAACAAAAGAGCTCGTCTAGAGAACTGCCAGTGAAAAAATTCCCCAGGAATGACTCCAGGCAACGAAGCCTACCTATCCTAGAACAGAGTGAAGCGGCGAGTAGCCATACCCATGGGTCACGTCGGAGGAGGGCAAAGAGGCAGAAGACGGTTAGTCAACAAACTGAACACCCTCCTCAGGACCTTCGCACTTGGCTGATTGGCAATAGGCAGAACGAGCAACATCGAGATCATCTGGACCGTACTGTTCACCAGAGAGAACATCGAGCGCTGGACAGGCTCGTCTCTTCACCATTCTCTCCGGAGATTGAGACCATGAGACCTCCAAAGAAGTTCACTCCACCAAAGTTCACTTCGTACGATGGGAAATCGGACCCTTTGACACATATCAGCCATTTTAAACAGATGATGTCTCTATGGAGCCGAGATGAGGCACTGATGTGCAAAGTTTTCCCATCCAGCTTGGGAGAAACCGGACTCCGATGGTTCGATCGACTCCCCGCTGGATCGATTCATGGCTGGAAGCAGCTCTCCGAAGAGTTCCTAGCCAGGTTCGTCTCCAATACTAAGATCCCAAAAGAGCCGGATACACTATTTGGCCTCAGGAAGGAGCAAGAGGAAACGCTGCGCAATTATGATAGGTGATATTGGGAAGAGTATAATGATCTGGAAGAAAATGTGTGCAGCAAGCAGATGGCCGTTATGTCCTTCAAACATGGTCTGCGCCAAGAAAGTAAGTTGAGACAATCACTTACCAAGTGCCCGGCCACAGCTTTGAAAGACTTGCGTGCCAGGATTGAGCAATATGCTCGTCTCGAAGACGATCAGATCCCCATCGAGGTAGTGTCAGCAGAATAAACAGCCCGACAGAAGAAGAGAACGGATCGAGGAGAACACCAAGGGATTGCAGTGAATGAGGTGGATAAGTCCAAATCCCACGAAGCTGTTGTGACTATGTTCAAAGAGCCAATCTATCGAATCCTAGAAAAGATCAAGAGAGAGCCCTTCTTTGTTTGGCCGCCGAAAATGTTGAGAGATCCAGCTCGACAAAATTAGAAGCTCAGATGCACCTACCACCAAGACAGGGGACACATGACTCAGAACTGCAGGGCACTGAAGCAACACTTGGAAGACCTGGTGGCAGCTAGACACCTAAGGGAATACATTGATCAGGATAAGGAAGTGGCCGAGCTGGGGAACCCACCTCTAGAAGTAAATATTGAGCATCCACCCTGGCTGATAATAAATGTGATCCATGGGACAGCGGCTCAGGAATCTAAGGAGGCACTGAAGGAAGAGATCGCTAAGGCTACGCAAATTCAACGAATCATGTCAGTGGAGCCGGCATCGAAAAAGGTGCGTACAGTACCTGAATCTCCCTTGTGCACTGTTTCATTTACTAGCAAAGATTTAGAAGGCATACAACACCCACATACTGATGCATTGATTATAACTGTTGGGATTAGGAAACGATTTGATGTAAAACATGTCCTAGTAGATCAGGGCAGTGCGGCAGACATACTATATTATGATTTGTTCAGAAAGCTCGGCCTCTCCGAGCAGCATCTCACCCCAGCGGTAGCCCCGTTGGTCGGTTTCAATTCACAGCCGAAATGGCCGCTCGGCATAATAGTATTGCCAGTCATAGCGGGGACAAAAACCCTCCAGATAGAGTTCTTGGTTATTAATACACCATCCCCTTATAACGCCATACTTGGCCGTCCGTGGATTCATCGAATGGAAGCAGTCCCTTCAACCTATCACCAGCTCATCTGTTTCCCAATGGAACACGGAGTAGAGCAGATCTCAGGGGATCAAGTTGCGTCCAAACATTGTTTCATGGCAGCATTAAAGGCAAAACAGCTCTGCAATCGGGTACAGACGGTAGAAGTGGCCGGACAGCTAGTCTTGGAAGATGTAGGGGGAACTCCAGAGGAAAACATGGTAGAGGATTTGGAGAAAGTCTTGGTAAAAGAAGATGACCCTGAAAAGTACTTCCTTATCGGTACCTCGCTAGGCACTGATGAGAAACTTCAGCTGCTGGAACTGCTGAGGGAAAATATGGAGGTATTCGCGTGGTCAGCATATGATACTCCAGGGTTGGGCCCAGAATTTGCTTGCCACAAGCTCAACATCAATCCTTCAGCTCGGCCCATTGTACAGAAAAGTCAGAGATCCTCAATTGAGCACACTGAAGCAGTAATTACCGCAGTCGAAAAACTCCTGGCCTCGGGAGCAATCAGAGAAGTTCAGTACCCGCAATGGCTGTCTAACACAGTTGTAGTCAAGAAGAAGAATGGAAAATGGAGAGTTTGTGTCGATTTCACTTGCTTGAACAAAGCCTGCCCTAAAGATAGTTTTCCGCTGCCTCGCATTGATCAACTAGTAGACTCAACAGCAGGGCATGAGCGCATGAGCTTTTTGGATGCTTATAGCGGTTATCATCAAATACCACTGTTCGGTCCGGATCAAGAAAAGACAGCATTTATCACTCCGAGAGGGACTTACTACTACAGAGTAATACCGTTCGGCCTCAAGAACGCCGGGGCGACCTACCAGCGAATGATCACTCGGATGTTCAAAGACCAACTGGGGAAAACCATGGAAGCCTATATAGACGATATGGTAGTAAAAAGCAAGTTTGCTACAAACCATCTCACGGACTTAAGAGAAGTTTTTAGCATCCTAAAAAACCACCAGCTTCGCCTTAATGCCTCGAAATGCGCCTTTGGGGTAGGAACAGGGAAGTTCTTGGGATACATGGTCACTCACAGAGGAATTGAAGCGAATCCAGATCAAATTAGGGCAATACAGGATCTCGAAGTGCCAACAAAGTCTGAGGAACTACAGAAACTAGCCAGAATGGCGGCCGCACTGAATCGGTTTATTAGCAAATCCTCAGATCGGATGAAGCCCTTCTTCCAGCTTTTGAGGAAAACGGCAGCATTTGAATGGAGTAGCAAATGTACCGAAGCACTACAGATCCTCAAAAGATGCCTCAGTACACCTCCTTTATTGTCTACTCCAGAACCGGGAGAGGAGCTGTACCTCTGTCTAGCAGTCTCAGATCATGCCGTGAGCGCAGTATTAATTCGAGAAGTTGACAAGGAACAGAGATCAGTATATTATGTTAGCAAGACTTTACTAGATGCCAAGACACGGTATCTACCACTAGAAAAGTTAGCTTACGCGCTGCTTATCGCCTTAAGAAAGTTGCAACATTACTTCCAGGGGCATACCATTAACATCCTCACTGAATTCCCCCTCAGATCTGTATTCAGCCGAGCCGATTTCTCTGGCCGAACAGCAAAGTGGGCGGTAGAACTTGGTGAGTTTGACATTCAGTATTAACCCAGGACAGCAATCAAGGCCCAGGTCTTGGCGGATTTTGTCGCAGAATTTACTCCCACCCAGAGTACCAAACCGGGGAATATGAGTTCGGCACAGGTGCCATGCGCCACCGAACAAGGAAAACCCAGCTTTTCGGAAGCATGGAAACTCTTTATTGGAAACATCTGGCAACTCTACGTCGATGGTTCGTCCAATAACCGAGGCTCGGGGGCAGGAGTAGTTCTTATTTCTCCAGAAAGATTTATCTGGGAACAAGCTCTCAGGCTAGACTGGAAGGCTTCAAACAATGAGGCCGAGTATGAAGCGTTATTGGCTGGCTTGCGTAGCGCCGAACACTTCAGTGCAGAACAACTTCTTGTTTTCAACGACTCACAACTAGTGGTAAACCAGTTTTCTGGGGTCTATGAAACTCAAGATGAAAGAATGGCTATGTACGCAGGCAAGGAAAGAGACCTCCTCAGAAAATTTCAATCCATACGAGTGGAACGAATCAGTCAGGACAAAAATAGCCACGCAGATGCTCTGGCATGCCTCGGCTCATCAGTGGATACAAAGGATGCCAGGAGAGTTTGGGTTGAGTTTGTACCAGAACCAAGTATTGCATCTCCAGTCCTCTGCAACAACTTAGAGCCGAGCTAGATGGATCCAATATTGGCCTTTTTGAAATCTGGTAAACTCCCCGAAGACAGAAGGAAAGCCAACAAGATCAGGCATAAATCAGCTCGATTCTGGATCTCACCGTCTGGGAAGCT